GAGTTGGGTGAGGGTGTCTTGGATAGAGGTGATTTGTTGGGTGAGAGTGGCAAGGGTTCCATCGACTGATGAAGTGGAGGGTTGGTGAGGTTGGGGAATTTGGGAGGTGATGGAAGCTGGTAGTTGATGAAGGTTGCGGATGAGGGTCTGTAGTTGGGAAATGATATAGGTAAGGTTTTCATCGGTCTCAGTTTGCTGAGCCGTGAGGGTGATGATGGATTCGATGAGGGATTGGTGTCGTTGGGTGGCGAGGGAGGAGTTGGTGTTTTGGTGTTGGGTGACAATCTTTTGAAGCATTTGGAGGCGGGAGGAATTGGTTTGGGTTTGGGTTTCAAGTTGGGTAAATTGGCGTTGGATTACCGCAAGAACTTGTGGAATGTTTGTGGTGTCGGGGGAAGGGTGGCTGTCCACAAGCCCTTGGATGAGAAGTTCAAGGTCTTCCAAGGACCGCATCACTTTATCAACAAAGGCCTGGAACTCAGCCTTAGTGACAATTTATGCAAGTGGGGTAACCCCTGCAACAACGGATGTTGCAGGTTGTGCCTCTGTTCCTGAGGCGCCTTCTTGGCCTTGTGTAAAGGTAGGCCGCGAAGGACTTCCATCATGTCCTTGATAGCCTTCGAGAGAAGAACTATCTCGTGATGTTGAAACATCTTCTTCCACTTCCTCAGCTTCAGAGGCTGAGTAAGTGAATCAGATGTGTCCCCTTCAATAGATCAAATATCGAGAGAAGGGGTGCACGAAATGAAGATCGCTCTGAACGATCGAGGGGTTCAACAGCAGAGGCAACAAATGCCTCTGTGTGTGTGATGGGTAGTGTCGAGTCCTGAGGCGAAGGGACGCTTGTTTCTTCATCACCTCTCTTTTGAAAGGGAGGTGACGGGAGATGGGGTTCCTCGGCGTGTTCATCTCCAGAGGCCCGAAGGATGGCCTCTGGATCGCTAGCAGGGGTGAGGGTGGGACCGGGGAGTCCTGTTTCAATATCCCTTTGGCTTTGATCGCCAGGGATAGCAGATGTGGGTACCCTTTGGGAAGTGGGGAGGGAAATATGTCGACCGGGGGAAGCACTAGCATCATCATCATCATCATCTTCATCTTCATCATCCGATGAAGATGATGCAGGTGCTCCCTCGTGAGGTGGAAAGGACGGCTCTGTGTGCTCCGGAATGACAGTAAGCATAGCCCTTGACAGTGGTCTGTCGATGCTGTATCCTTCCTTCGAAAGGGTTAGGCGATGTTCGTGCATCTTGTAGACCGGGGTATATGGCTCTTTGGCGGGTAGGTTATGTAGCCTCATTGCATCCCCAATAATGAGAGCAAGGAAGCGAGGGAAGAGGACAGCGGACAAGGGTTTTCCTGCGGCTTGAAGTTTACACTTTTTGAGCACGGCCGCGTGGATCTCGGTGTAGATGAGGAGGGCGTAATCGAGGTTGAGGTTGAAGAAGAGACCATACATGATGGTCATAATGTTCAGATTTCCTTGATCGAGGGAGCCCAACTTGCAGGTGAGAGACCGGTTGAGGATTGAAAAGAACAAATTCCACATTGGTGGGAGGAATTGTCTTTTGAAATCCGAGATGTTCCTGATTTCCCTGTTGTAGCCTAGCATCCTCACGAACCGGAGAATGTCCTCGGAGGAAGGTGGTTCTGCATACTGTTCGATCTCAAGCTCTCGTCGTGTAGGAATGCACAACACCTTGGATATTTTTGCCCGTGAAATTTTTACTGAGCAAATCATATCGTTTGGTGCGTCTACGTCTCCCATTATTCCGTGACTGGCAGGGTCAAACACACAGGTTTGCCAGTATTGTTGAACGTATCGTAACGGGACTTTGGGGTTGACTAGTGTGAGAGCAGGTAGTAGAATGCAGTTCTTAAAGAACTCAATCATAATGCCAAACCTGTCGTCATAGAGATTGCAGCGGAGTTCGATCATATGGTTATTTGGTTTCATGGGGAGGAAGACGATAACTCGACTGTCGGCTCCCGTAGATTGGATGCGGCTATCGTTGTTGTTAGAGTCGTGTGAAGCGGAGGATGCCATTTCTATGCAAGTTGCAGGTTGTGTTCGTCAAAAGCTGGTTGCAGATTTTGGAAGCGTAAAGAAGATAATGGTGGAGAAGATGGGTATTTATAGGTGGGTGGATGAGGTGGGTTGGGGGGTGGGGGGGTAGAGGTGAAACGTTTTCTTGATTATTATAAGGAAATAATCATGAGAAAAGTGGCGGGATTGGTGTTGGGTGATGGGATTGGAGGAACGTGAGCCGTCGTGATAGTACGTGCCATAAATGAAGGTGGACACGTGTCAAGATGGGATTTGGGAGTGAAAAATAATGAAACGGCAAAAGGGGGCAGCCTGTTTGGTGTCAGGCGCGTGGTTTTAGTGACGTCATGAGATATTTGAAATGAAAAGGCATTCCAAATAGTAACTTGGTAAAGATGTTTAAAAAAATGGAATTTAAAATCTCATCTAATTGGAAGAGTAATACGAATTACGTAGTTTTGGTCTTCTAAAAACTGATGGAATAGTTTTTAGTCACAAAAGCTGCAATTTTGTACCATCTTGAAAATTGTTTTCAATTAAGATGAGTTTGAGGGAAAAAAATGTATTTTCATGGAACCAGAGGGGCTCTGGTCATACATGACATATGGGTGTGGAACCAGAGGAGTTTCTGGTTGGAAAGTCGATGAAGACTAGGGATGTTGGATTGACATGTTGTGGAGGCTTTAATTGTCAAATCAAAGGCTCCATGAAAGTATGTCAAGTCATTTTATAAAGCCAGAGGAGGTCTGGTAGTATAATGATATATAGCATTTTATGGGACCAGAGGCGCTGGATAGTAGAACCAGAGGCTCTGGATGGAAAATGCAAGTTTACTAATGTAAACTGTTGCTCCCCCTCAAAGGATGCATGGGAATATGAAAGAAAATGGAAAAACTCCCCCTTGAAACCATGAGGAGTTTAGATTATGGTTGACCAGAGGCGCTGGTTATGAATGGTGATGAAAAAATGAAAGAAATAAGCTTAAGGATGAGAATGAAGTTGAAAAGAAATGAGTCTTTGAGACCAGAGGAGCTCTGGTCGCAAAGACATGGAATCCAGAGGCTCTGGTCTTTAGAACCAGAGGCGCTAGTCATGAAGGATGAAGAAATTGAATTCAAGATGAAATGAGGAAGGTAATGGGTCAAAGAAAATAAAGCCAGAGGCTCTGGTCTTTAGAACCAGAGGCGCTGGTTGAAAGAAAAGAGTAATGTAAGTAGGATGGAGGCCAGAGGCTCTGGTCTATAGAACCAGAGGCTCTGGTTGAAAAAAAAAAAGACTTGGTCTATAATAACCAAGTAATGGCATTGAACCAGAGAAGCGCTGGTTGCAAAGAAGAAATTTTGTCAAGAAAGCTAAGGCATTCTAAAGGGCCATAGACATTTCCAAAGACATGCCCTCTGATAGGTGTACTCGGAGACAGAGTAACTTGCTTAGGCTAGGGAGGCATAAGAGATGATGCATAAGTTGGGGGTACAAGAATGGCAGTATAGGCTAGAATGTGTTTTTGGCCTTATTTGCTTGGTGTGAGTTTTTATTTCCTTGTCTTTTCCTACGATCTCTTTGTACCTTATTGTTACTTTCTCACTTACTTTTCTCGTATTTCGCGCACCTAATTCTAGTATTTATCTTTTCTAACCGTTTGCTCACTCTTGCACAAGCCAAGGGTCTCAACAGAAACAGCCGCTCTACTCTTTTGAAGTAGAGGTCAGAGGTCCGGTATGCTTACACCTTTACCCCCCCCCCCCAAAAAAAAAAAAAAAAAAAACAAAGACCTCACTTTCGAGTCAGATATAGGTCAGTTTGGTTTGCTTTTGGGAAAAAAAAAGTTATGTAGAGCAATTCACGTTTTAGTTATTTGGCAAAATATATACAATATTATTGGGATAACTATGAACATAATGCACGAAGAGCCATGAAATAAACAAGAGTTGTTCTTTTTATTGATCAGTGCTAGTATCTTCTGAATCATCCCACAGATTTTCATTTCACTTTTGTCGAGATATATACATACATATATATATATATATATGGTTGGGTTCCGGTAGGAAGGAGAGTTACAGTGAGAAGCGTAAAGGGGAATCTCCACCCTTGGATGCACATTAGGATGAGATGCACTAGATTAGTCCCCGTGTCAAGCGCGATTCATGTGGTGGGTTTGAGATTAAAGGTGATCAAGGGTCCAGATCACTTCTTACGCTTCTCACCTTAACTCTCCTCAGACGATCCTTTGCCTATATTATATATACACACACGCACACATATACATGCATACATATAGCCATAGGTTATTTTGATAAGTAAAGAAGCAATCCTAGCCCTTCATACGGTCAAGATCGGATTTGACTGGTCAAAATTTGTGGCCATGCAAAAAATAGAGGGGGTAGTTTCATAACTTTTACAAATAGGCAGTTATTCACATATGAACATATGAACTATATGTTCATATGTGAACCCGTCTAATTCATATATGAGCTATTTTAACGTATTCACGTATAAACTAATTAATTGATTCACATATGAACCCGTGTGATTCACATATAAACTAATTAACTGATTCACATATGAACATATAGTTCATATGTGAATCATACGGGTTCACACATGGACCCGTTTGCCGCCTTATTTGTAGAAGTTAGGAAACTACCCCGCTATCTTCTGCATACCCATGCAAATAACTATCTGGTGCTTCACAGTCAGTCACAAATATTGACCAGATGAAGGGTTAGGATCACTTCTTTACTTCTCAAATACTTACCACTTCTCAAGTGAACCTCTCCAAATTATATATATATATATATATATATATATATATATATATATATATATATGCACACAGACACAAGCACATAAATGAACAATCAACTACCAAGTAATGTTCGAGTCAATCAAGGAACACCAAGATAAGGAAAAAATAAATAGAGATTCAGGATTTAAGGTACCATCTTTGGATACATACCCGCATGATAAGTTTTCTTGCTGGCGATGAAGTTCGTAGGTCATAAAGTGTTATGCTCCGATCACTACACAGAAAAATAAACAAAAAACTTAGGGAAAAAGGTGGGGAAATGGTACCACAACATACATAGTACACAGAGAATCTGCAGATATGGAGGCATCTAAAAACCATTGACAACGCAAAAGACATTTGAAAAGCCTAACAAAGTGAGATCCACAATAGATAAATAGCATGTACAACAGTTACGAAGCAAGAATACTGTACATGGTAACAGCCAAGATACTGCAAATCTAATTATTAACATAATCCTCAAACAAATTAAACATAATCATCAACAGCTCCTAGTACCTATTTATAGAGTTTCCTAAACATAAACCTTCCTAATCTCTATTTAGAATTTTTGAACTATAAATTTTCCTTATTGTATACACGCATGGGCCAACCTCATGCATGAGCCTAACAGCACAACATAGTTTCAGAAAAGGCTACCGACTTGGCCTGCTTTGACTATGTTATTCTTCTCATTTCGAAAGAAGAAGAAGTAGCCCCGCCGACGACAACAGATTCAATAGCTGGGGATCTTGCTAAGAATGAAACTCCTAACCTTAAATCATAGAACCGGGGATGATTTTCGAGAATCTGAAGTTGGAGCGGGGAGAAAAACCCCAGTGGGTAGCGAAACTGCCCATCCTGTTGTTGTGGCAAGCAAATCTACTGAGAGAGATATTGAGCAGGTAGGCATGCTTGACTTGCCGAATAGTGTATGTGTCACACAAAAGTGGCTGCTGCTCATTTCATAACTTGAAGAAGTCACCAGGGAAAAGTTTTGATATATGAATACTTATCAAGTCTCTTTCAGATGAGTAAATTTTTGTAAGCTTGGATACAAGACATTAAAACAACACTAGCAACAACTAAATAATCGTAGTTGGTGAATTGAAATTTGAAAATAGAGGTAAAAGTATACAGTCAATTACACGATGACAGAACATTATATATATATATATATATATATATACCTATCTCGCTCATCAGACAACAATTTTGGAAGCCGATTAGTATACTAATAAAGCACACCCCACATGAGATAATTATACATAAATTATGCAATTACATCCAAAGAAAGTAAAAATCAACCTCATAACAGACGTGTGCAAATCACCAAGACGTTTCATACCTGCCAGATGTCGCCAAGATATTTGGCTCACCAGGATTAAAACGAACAGAAATTACCGTGTCATTTCCCCATTCGAAACTGTTAACTGGCACCGACCTATATATGTAAGACAATTAAACACAGAAAACCATAAATCTTGTATTAGATGTCTGAACCAAGTCTGGATCATTACCTATTGTGGTCCCATATATCAACTTGAGCACCAGCCGTGGCAAAAAGGTCACCTTCCCACTGATGGTCCACAGCCCTGGAGAATGGCAAGCCTTGGTTAACTTAAAGCTCATAAGTACAAGGGAGCTATTCGATGAATAAAATATATTTTAGAGAGCATCTCCAAAATGTTGACACAAAAAAGTAAAATCTTCAAAAAAAAAATTACATTCAATTTCAACAGTTTCTCCATTTTGAAGATTTCAACATTAATTATATTTATTGAAATATTCGATGTATTCAATATCCCAAAAAACATTCAAATAAATTTATATAACATGATAATATTTTTATGTTCATTGGTGGAAACAATAAAACATACATTTCTCTCTCTTCACAATAAATTTTGGAGAGTTCTCCAAATTTGAAGATTTTTAGATTCTCTCCTAATTTCTCCATTTTGGAGGAACTTTTAGAGAACTTGTTCAAGCAAAAAAAGCATGATAAATCTCCATTTTGGAGGATCTGTTCAAAATGCTTAATAGGATAAAAAAAACCATAAAATCCTAACGTCCAAGTTAAGCTTCCCTTATCAGTTTGTGTGGAAGACGCAAGGACCCCAATCAACAAGGAGTCAATATATCATGATTGCATACAAACTCCCCACCCCCTCCCAATTCCATTTAATGAAAAAAAAAATCAACATAACATATTCCGATGAAGAGGAAAGTTTCGTGAACCCAAAATTGACTAGGAACTGCCTACAACACCCCGCGTGTCTCTCTTCAGGATGAATATTCATCATGAATAACACATGATGAATATGGAAGTGTTATTCATCATGACTCGCACATTCATGATGAATATGGACGTGTTATTCATTATGAATCACCCATTTATGATGAATATGCTACAGCATTCATAAAGAATAACAAGTCCATAATCTTGATTAATATGCCACGTGTCGTGCTTTAGGCGGTTCCGGGGTTCCTAATCAACTTTAGGTTCCTTTCCGATGTGAACTTGCAAATGTGGCTTCGTTGGGAAGTAAAATTAAGACATAAAGAAGCAAGAAGTTTACACTAGTAAACTTACCAGAAAGCATTTTTCCAAACATAGGATGCCAATAACTGCGATCACAGAAAGCAAATTGTAAAAGCATGTTACGATGAGAATGAAAATTAAGAAACCATGAGATCATTAATCAATATATGAAAGTAGGTTATCCCTGACCTTATCTGAGCTATCAGATGAGTTATTTGACTCGATTCCACTTGCAAGAGGAACCCTCCATAGTCTAACACTGATTCGATCAAGTAAAGACACGTAGATTAAAACTATTTTTCACGTGTCTGATTATAAATTGCTGCAATAAGAAGTCTAACATCAAAGAATTTTGGCCTTACGTGCAATCACTTCCACATGACACAAGTATGCGTCCATCTGTAGATACTGTCAAACCACGTACAGCACCTTGGTGACCAGGATATTGACATACTGTTTTTCTACAACCATAATCAACACCAAAGAAATCAACGACCTCTTCTCAAGAAACACCAAATTGATCAGATTCCATTTATGTATTTCATGTACCAAATTATGAATAAGTGTTCTATATAATTAGTTAAAATGAAATTTAAGTTTTATTGAGACTAGTATTTTTCTCTAAAAACGTATAACATGTTCCAATATAATTAACAAAAAAAGAACTTTCTTTATATGCCCCAATATGTCCCAACTTCCAGAATCCTGTCTATTGGGGTTAGAGAAATAATGCACAACATAAAATTAAAAGTAAAGTAGAATAACTAAATGGTCAATAGACTCTAAAGTATTACCTTGAAGCAATATCCCATAGACGAATATCTGCAAAGAAACACAAATTGCGCATTTAAGAACATGTTTAGTTATTACAGACATATAATCATAAAACTTGTTGCTTCAAAATATTCCTACTTACTGAATGAAGTTCAAAGAAAAATCTATGCCACCACGTGACTTTCAAACCAGCCATTAACTCATAAGCTTCTCATACAGAAATGACCACTGGGTTCGTCACTACTCTTACGTTCATCACAACATTGCAGCACAACGTCTTATATTGGAATGTTTAAATATTTTGTGCATAATGTGAAAAAAGAATTAAAATTTTTAAAGGTGTTGCTATCATGGTTTTTCAAATCCTTTAGAGCATCAATTGAAGTGAATCCTCAAACTTTTTTCCTCATAAGGAGTGGATTTTAATAATGGTGAATAGAAAATCATTTCGGCAACTTTATTTGTCATGTTTAAGGGTGACTCTAAAGTGCCTTTAATTGGCACCACTAACAAAAATTTCTAGTGAAAAATCCACAAAAAGGGCCAAGAGGTAGGAAGCAAAGGATGCCCATATTGACAACTTTATTTGCATAGATTTAGTTGTCGATTCAGACTATCTTTTACTACTGATGTGGTTAAGGAGGTTTCAGGTGAAATATGAATGAATTGGTCGTACATACTCAAGGTAGAAGAAGGTGGTTGTCTAAAATTTTATTTTCTACGCGGGTACTAAACAAACTTAGGGGTCATTTACTAAACACTTACTAAGGCTTAGCGGGTCACTCACTTTACCGAATGAGCATGGCAAGAACCAAAAATCTTACCGGTAAGAGAGATGGCAAGCATTGAGTCTTACCCAGCGAGGTTGACGACTCTTACCAAGGTAGTGCTTTCCGGGTAATTTGTTGCCTAAGATGCTGTTTTGATACTAGAATCTAACCCGGTAAAGTAAGTGGAAGTATTGACTTTTATTGGTAAGCACTTATCAGGTAAGCGTTTGGGTAAACGGCCCCTTAATCTAGTTCCACATAGAAAACAACAAGCGATCATGGCATGATAAATAAAATTTCTGTTATCAAACTGACCAAAAGATTTAGTTGGTGTTGGTGACTAGTGTTTCAACTTTTTGTTAATACAAGAAAATTGAATGCCAAGACAATGGTGACTGAAGCATACCTCCATCCATAGAACCAGAAAATAAACCTTTCAAGTGACTAGGGTTTTTCGCCATACACGATATGGCGTCTATATGCCCATCCATGGCTCCAATAAATGGTCTTGCAAATACCTATGATGACAAAATTAATCTCAACCATAAATCAATAACAAAAAAGATGTATTTCAAACTACAATAAATCAATTAGTTATAGAGCAAAAGCAAGTAGTTATGGAATAAAGCATGACCTTATCTAATTTAGAGGCATTAAGGGCTCTAACATACTCCACAGCCTTTTCTTGAGTACGAAGATTTGGGTCATAGTTTCGAGAAACCCTCTGATACAAYAGAAATTGAAATAAACATCAATGAAATATATACACTCCCCTTGTACTAAAATGAAAACCTAAACTTGAATTTTGATGTCAACCCACATGCATCCCGTATGCAAATTCAAACGAGATTTTGTTGTAAATCGTAGGCATTTGCCATTTTTCCAGAAAACAAACAGACATTGAAAGAAAATTACCTGAAGATCATTACTCCGCTCGCGTGTGAATTCATCTGCAGAACGAGACATAACCTTAACCCTCATACTTTTAAGAGACTAAGAAATATGAGTTTTGTTGCAGCGGTTGTCAGATAGATTTTGATGAAAAGCTCCGGTGACGATGACAATATGTTTCGGCGGCAACAGAACTCGAGACCTGTAAAACCTGAAAGAGTTTGTGGTTTATGACATGCTTTTTGTAGGGATTGCAAGGGGCGGGATTACGGATGGTGATTTGACCCGATCCGGCGGGAACCGGTTCACCCGATCCGAATCGGGACAAGATTCCCCGTTAAAACGGGTCCTGGGGCCGGGGATCTTCGGTAGACTCAAATCGGGGACAAGGCCGGGAACGGGGAATGTTACTCAAAACGGGGCCGGGGTCGGGGCCGGGATCCCCGGTATAATCAAACTAAAGCATATTTTTTACCCGGTTTTGACCGGGGATTGATCGGGGTTTACTGAGGATTGCTAGAATTTGACCGGGGACGAGATGATAATCTCCGTACCGGCCGGGTCTGGGGGACGGTATTACAAACCGGGGCCGGACCGGGGATTACAAAACTCGCCCCATCCCCGCCCCGTTGCCATGCCTAGGCAGGATCCCGTCCCCGAGTCACTATCCTTATCGCCGTTGGTACGGAGAACAGTGCCAGTATGCTTAAGGCGAAAAAAAAAGCCCCCATGTCGATTTAAGGGGCTGTTCGGTCAAGAATGAAATTATTATTCGGTTGTTACGTTGAATAAATTAAATATCACTAGAAATGTATTCGTGTAATGCAGCGAAATAAATATTCATTTTAATGTTTAGTTTTTATTCTCTGTCTCTATCGATATAGTACGATTTTATATGATTTTAAGAAAGCAATAATGTTTTTATTTTTGAATGAAATATCTATACTATCTTATAAAACATTTGGCTAAAACTCTTAAAAACTCTTAAAACTTTTAAAAACTCTTAAACCCGTTCATCCCTAAACGATTTCGATTTCATCTCATATCTGAATTCGTGTAACTAACTGCAGATAAACACAATCAAATACATGATAGACATCTCATTTTAAATAAAAAAAAAATCTAAAATATAATTAGTATAATCATTAAATTCTAACAGAATACTTAATTATTATCTTTATAAAATTTATAATATTAAACCAAAAATAAATTGTTTTATTATTAAACTTAAATTAAATTTTATATATATAAATTATATTTTATATTATAAATCATTTGACAAAAACTCTTAAAAACCATTTTTTTATGCTTAAAGTACTGTTTATTAATGCATATTACTTAAAACTCAATATTACAAGTAAATTGTGCGTATGTACAACTTATTAAAGCTCCGTATATGAATTCGTGTAACTAAATGCAAATTAACACAATCAAATACAGGATAAACATCTCATTTTAAATATAAAATATAATTAGGATATCATTGAGTTCTAACATAATACTTAATTATTATCTTTATAAAATGTTATATTATTAAATCAAAAATAAATTATTTCATTATTAAACTTAAATCAAATTATAAAAAAAAATAATTTATACTATATTATAAAGCATTTGACAAAAACTCAAAAAAACTATTTTTTATGCGTAAAGTGTAAAACCCAAAAGATTTCAAGAATTTTAGGGATTTAAACGAATAATAAAATGACGGTAAAAAAGGAATATACATTAAAGTTAAATTCATTTTTCTTATTCTTGACCAATGTCTGAAGGCTCTATTTAGAGGGGGGCCTGCTGTCAACGTTGGGAGAGGCAGAAGAGGAACAGGCGGTGCCTGGTTCATATGAGGAAACTGTGACCTGCATGTTTGCAGGCTGTGGAGAAAGCAGTTTCACAGCCTAAAACTCGCGATTTGGCTGATTTGGTCAACTAATAGGCCAAATCGTTTGAGTATAAATTGTGGGCACTGGTTTAGGGTCGCTATTCTTTTAAAAGAAGAATGAAATCATCGAGCTTGAGAGAGAAAAACCGGAGTTCAAGACCAGGCAAGAACCCCCTGCTTTTCCGTCGTTTAGAGGTAAATATTCAACCAAAATTTATGTTGTTACAATGTTTAGTTGTGTCTTTGGCTCTGTATAGAACTCTAGAAGACTCACGTTCCAAACTTCGTGTTTTAGGGTTCGATTTCAAAGTTTAGATTTCATTTGGTAAAGACGTTGTATCGTATTCTGTTTAAAAACCATTTTAAAGGATGTTATACATAAGCTCAGCATAAGAGCTCTGTATCAAGTTTGGTGTTCATACAGAGACTCTGCATAAGAGCTCTGTGTCAAGTTATGTTAGTCAGAAGCTCTGCATGAGAGTTTTGTATCAAGTTATGTTATACAGAAGCCCTACATGAGAGCTCTTTATCAAGTTGTGTTATACAGAAGCTCTACAAGAGAGCTTTGTATCAAGTTATGTTATACAGAAGCTCTGGAAGAGAGCCGAGAGGGGTTCTGGTCCTTAATATTGAATTATTTTATAAGTATGGTTTGGTTCAACCAGAGGCTCTGGTAGTGAAACCAGAAGCTCTGGAAGAGAGACCAGAGGGGCTCTGGTCCTTGATGAGTTATTTTATAAGTATGGTGTACAACCAGAGGGGCTCTGGTCAATACAACCAGAGGCTTGACCAGAGGCTCTGGTCGTCCACAGAGACTCTGATCTTCTTCCAGACTTGGTCATTTTAGCACAGCGGCGTCTTCAAAAGTCCCATCCTTAGCCCCGATGTCGAAACTCACGGTTCCTATAATTTTAATTGATGCGAGGAGCGTTTTTTAAGCATAGTTGACTAATGATGACATTGGCCGACGTAGTTGACCGTAAGTTGACTTTTATGTTAGCCTTTGAGAAAAATTAATCATTTATATGCTATTCGCTATTATAAATTTTAGGTTGCCAGTCAGCGACGTTAGTTAAGCAACCTTCGTTATCAGATGAGTCTTCATGAGATTTCACTTGGATGCATGCATACGTATAAATTTAATTTCGAGCATTATATGATTTATATGATAATGTGTACATATGCACGATGTTTCAGTTTACATACATGATATATTTTACATGTATGTTATTTTATGATCAGTTGCATGCTATTTGTTTAATCAGTTTTCAAATAACTCTATCATGCTATTCTATATTAAAGTTTTATGATTCATGGGTGGGCATTTGACCAGTAAGTCACGACCAGTATAAAACACTACCCGGATATAATATCCGTGTTTCGTTAACTCGTACAAATTGGGTTAAGAGAATTTTGGTAGAATTATGCATAATATATTTGTACCCTATGCTTAACCAATTTGTACCCTAGATTAGTTTTGCGTCAAAATGTGTTTATACCTATATTGACGTAAAGTTGGGAATTTTTAACTTGAAGGGTAAAAAC